GTGAAGCTCTCCGTTCATCTAATAAATGTTGAACGGTGACGAAACCCTCGGCTCCCACAACAACATTCAGCACATAAAATAAAGAAAATGCAGAGAAACCATAGAAACTGGGATCAGCCTTGAGCATCTCCTCTCGTCTTTACTGTCAACCTCATCCTGTTCAAATATTTGCCAGGGAAAAAAAAATATGCTTGGCTCTACAAGGCACGCAGGCGTACAGGGTAAGTCCTCAACTTATGACGATAACGGAACCTGCATACCACAGTTGCATATTGCAAAAAATGGGTGGTCCAGGTGACCAACTCAATTTTAAGACCTTTTTTCCCTTTTTTTTTGCAATGATTGTTAAGTGAACACCGCTGCTATTAATTATTAATTGATGGTTTGCTATGGGCTGGTTTTGCCAAAAAGCAGAAGTAATGGCCAGTTTTCTGCAAAACCATCGTAAAACACAGTTGTGTGACAGTGGGTTGCTACAAACAGCCTTAAATGTGCTGACCAAGGTTTGAGCATGGAATCATGTTACTGCAGGGGAGGCCCCTGAGTGCCAGAACTTTGCAACCAGGTGGTAGCTACATCTGGGAAAGTCCACAGTAACCTGGGAGCGATTGTCCCAAAGGCCCTTTTTCCAGGAGGCCACGGAACATTCCTTGTTTTGCTTTGAAGAGGTTTCTCTTCTCATCCCAGAAGCTTCTCCAGTTCTGACTGGAGATCAAGAATCCTCCCATTCCCCACCACGCAGTCAGAGCTGCAGGACTGAGAATCGACTGGCTGCTCCACCAGGGACTCCTGGCATCAAGTCCAAGACAAGCTTCCCTCTTGGGGGCGAAGGCGCTGCCTGAATGGGAATGCAGCACATTTGCTAAAGCAGGTTTGCAGGGGGGGGGAGGTGCCCCCAATACAGGAAGTCCTCGACTTACAACAGTTCATTTAGTGACCGTTCAAAGTTACAACAGCACTGGGAAAAGCGACAGGATCGTTTTCACGACTTTTGCAGGATCCCCGTGGTTGTGTGATCAAAATTCAGAGGCCTGGCAACTGACTCACAGTTATGACGGTTGCAGTGTCCCTGGGTCACGTGATTCCCTTTTGTGACCTCCTCACAAGCAAAGTCTATGGGGAGTCCAGATTCGCTTAACAACTGTGTCGCTAACTTAACAATGGCAGTGATTCACTTAACAACTGAGGCCAGAAAGGTCGTAAAATGGGCCAAAGCTCACTTAACAAACGTCTCACTTAATGACAGAAATCTTGGGCTCTGGTGTGGTCGTAAGTCAAGGACTAACACATAAGCTGCACTCACTACCAAACGTCTGAAATCAGGCGTTCCAGACGGTTCAAACGGGGACAAGAATCTGAACTGCTAACAGTCAAAACAAATTGGTGGTAGATAAGAGTACAGGTAGTCCTCAACTTATGACCACACTGGGGCCCCAAATCTAGGTCGTTAAGCGAGACATTTGTTAAGTGAGTTTTGCTCCATTTTACGGCTTTTCTTGCTACAGTTGTTAAGTGAATCCCTGGAGTTCAGTGGTGGTATTCAGCTGGTTCACACCGGTTTGGATGAACCGGTATCAAGGATTTGGCATGGGTTGCCAAACCGGGAGTAACTTCTGGCTGGCCACGCCCCCGACCGGGTCACCCAGTTGCTGCTTGCTCAATTGCCCCGCCCACCTGACCCTCACTCCGCCCAGTCACTCCTTAAGGCAGTGGCCCCCAACCTTTTTTGTACCGCAGCCCGGTACCGGCATCAGCACGCATGACAAGGCAAGGCGAGCCGAGTGACCGGCCAGCCAGCCGTCCCCCGCTTCTCCCCGCCACCTTCAACTCCTCCTTTGTACCTTTGTCGATGAGCTTCGCTTCGGGACAGCTTCGGGACGGTCGCTCGGCTCGCCTTGCCTTGGGTGCTGAAAGAATCCTCGCGCCTTAGTTTCGTTCGAAGCCCCCCCCCCTTCGATGAAACTAAGGCGCAAGGATTCCTTCAGGACCCAGAAGCCGCTTTCCAACCGGAAAAGCTCACCCGGAAGCACTTTCTCGTCAAACAAGATGGCGGCACCCAGCAAACCGGCGGCCTGGTAGGAAATGTTCCACAGACCGGTACCGGTCCGCGGCCCGGTGGTTGGGGACCCCTGCCTTAAGGTATTTCTTTTTTTCCTCCTGATGATCAGCTGTTCCGACGATCAACTGCGCTGGGATCCCCACTGCTGTCTTACTGCTTCGCCCAGGAGGCTTCCCTGAGGCCCCAAAATGGAGCGTAGGGGGTGCTGCACGCCCCCTCCAGGCTCTGGGTTGTTTTTTTTTTCCCTTCCTGGGCCCCAGGGAAGCTTCCTGGGAGCAGAAACATGCCCCCCAGGAGGCTTGGCCCAGAAGGCCCCCAAAATGGGGGGGTAGGGGGGTGCTGCAAAAAAACCATGCCCACCCAGTCAGATGGCCACACCCATCAAGCCAGGCCCACAGAACCAGTAGTAAAAAAGTTTTGAATCCCACCACGGCTGGAATTGTTAAGTTTGTAGCCCGGCTGTTAAGTGGGGAGCCCTGCCCCGGGTCCAGTGGATGCCAAAATAGGCCTGCCTGGATCTCATTTCCAGCCAGGCATCATTCATTCAAGCAGGAAAGTTTGTTCCTGTTATTTTTCTATGGGGAAACGGGAGAGACGGGAGAGGAAGAAGAGGGCAGGAGTGGGGATCTGATGATGACAAACTAGCCTTTGAAATCCTTCGTTCAGGGGAAAGGACACAACGCATCTCTTCCATTCCCCCCCACCCCCACTTAGCAACAACCAACCGAAAACAACTGCATGGGCAAATCAATCCTTACACGGGTTAATCCCAATTGCAAATTGGTTTATTGCCGATGTATTTATCCCTTTGTTTACTTCCTCTTGCAGGCAGGGGCCAAACGGCAAACCAAACACACCACCTTATACAACAAAACCCTCTGTGGCTCTGTAATTCTTCGGGGGCTTTTATTTGGCCCCCTTCTTCGATGAAGCCTTAAGCGGTTGCTCTTCCCAGCTGTTACGCTATCAAGATCCTGGCAGGCGGCCGGATGGCTTTCCTTGCCTCCTGTGACCGAGCGCATGGCTTGCATCCGCCACCAGGGGGCGATCGTGTACAGCTTCCATCACTGGTCCAACAAGCCAGGCTCCCTTTGAGGAGCGCCGGTGGCAACGGAGCTCTCCTTCTGATGTGCAGGCAGTCCTCGACTTACAACGCTTCATTTGGCTTCTTCCCCATTGACCTCGTTTGTCAGAAGGTCGCAAAAGGGGATCGCATGACCCCAAGGGAACATGGCAACCATCCTAACTGTGAGCCAGTTGCCAAGCCTCTGAATTTGGATCACACATCACCGTGGGGATGCTGGAAGTGAAAAAATTATCCTAAGTCACTTGTTTTCAGTGCTGTTGTAACGGTCACTGAACTAACTGTTGTAAGTTGAGGACTGCCTGTAGAAGACATTGGCAGTTTTAATTGCTTGCTTTCTTAAAATTCAACTCGCATGCAGCGCTTAATTGTGCCGAATCCATACATTTTCATTTGCAGACCTTGTTCGCACGATAAGCCAGAGATTGTTTTTATACACACAGCACCCCAAAAAATCTCCTCTCAGAGATTAAAAAGGATTTGGAAACAAAATATTAAACAGAGCTTTACAACGCTCAAAAAAAAACAAGCACGGTTCTTTTAAAAGTGTTGCATCTGTTTTTGAGTTCACACAAAAACTCCAAAAAGGAGACAGCAGCTTTAAAAAGTGACAACCCTTCAGCCCCTGGGCCTTCCGAAGCACCTCTCCCAAATTATTTTGGAGGTATGAGCAGCCCTAATATAAAATAAAAGCTTTCACTAGGCTCACTGACTAACACAATTTCATACCAGAGGTTATAAACAGAAAGAGAGACTCATAAAAGGGAAAACAGTACAAAAATGGGCAAATAAAAACACAAACAAGGCAGCATTAAAATAATAGGAATAGAGAGGTTACAGTGCTAACCAAGTAAGGATAAAAATGCTACTATCGGCAATAAGTACCAATTTACAAATGCACTTACTGCAATACGAAAACAAAAACACCGACCTGTTAAAACGCTCGTCTGTTAGAAGGCCATTAAAATGCTACACTAGAAATCAGGAATCTCTCAATAATTTTTGTGGCCGACCACTGAGAGGTCATAAAAAAACAGTACAAATCCAATAAAAGACAGCAGGCTCCATTGTCCTAGAGATTATATTGTTTCCTACAACACTGGCATATCTGATAAGTTGCTGGTCCAATATTTCTCATCCTTAGCAACTTTAAGATGTATGGAGTTCAACTCCCAGAACTGCCCAGCCAGATTTACAAACCCAGATCTAATCAATGGCATTCAGGAAAGACCATCACATTTTCTCTCTTCAATCAACCTGCAGTGTTTATACCTTGAGAAAGTAAGCAGCAGGGGCTGCCTGCCTTGGCAGGGGGAAAAAACAAGCCATCAAAATAGAACCATAGGAGCAGAAGGGACCTCAGAGGTCATCTAGTCCAACAGGGACTCAAGACTGGTGACGAGTTTGACCCCTCCCTGTGGCTCAACCTGCTCAGCTACTACATCATTTTATGACTATCGTTAAAAAAAGTTGTAGAATGGAGCCAGGTCGTGTGGGGATTCGCACAATGACGGCAATAGCGTACGGCCAAGATTCCAGGCTCGATTGTGGCTCTTAAGCGAGAGCTGCTCGTAAGTGCCGGAAATGGCCTTCTTCCAAATGGTTTGGCTGATGCCTGTTCCAGCTAACCTTCACGGGGAGTCTCCCATCCAGACACAAGTCAACCCCGGCCCTGTTCAGCACCTGAGCCCAAACTCAGCCAGGTCATTCAAAGCATGTTTTATGCACTAGGGAGGTGTGGGTGTTTCTCGACATTTTGGGTAGCGCCCCACGTGGTACGTCGTCCATTCTCTCCTGCAACCCACCCGGACACCCTCCTGACGTGAGGTCACGAGACTCGTTGGCGGGGAGCCTTACGATTTTCAGGTGAGATAAAAGCCTCATGACGTCCGCCATGTCCGCCAGGATGAGCAAGCGAGTGACAGCAGAAAGCAGAGCTCGGGCAGCCCGGACCATCGTGCCCCGTTTGACGGAGGAACAAGGATCGTCAGCAAACTCTGTGGAAGCGATCCTCATGGTTTCACCTAGGAGATGGTTAGAAAGAAGCAGGTTAGAAAGACTCTCCCAACAAGCAGCCTGGAATTCCTCTTTCACGGCAAATTAAGAGAGTGCGGGGCTGTATTTCTTATGGCGGTATTAAATAAAAGGCCTACGGAAGCTTGTACAATTGGGCTTTGCAAATCACGGGAACATTGCTGCTACATCGGAGGTTTCACATTATGGACCCATTAAAAGCAGCCTCTAAGGATGTTCTGAATTCATAGGAAGGAGAAATGATGAAGTGCATTTTTTTTTCCACGCCCTGCATAGAAGCTACGAAGAGTGTGACATGTATTTTCTAAATTTTGCTCTTGAAAATTTCAGAGGCGTTAAAAACTCTATGTAAATTTGGGGAAATGCAAACTATTTTTTGGGATATACAACGGCAGTTGAAACTCACAAGAACAAGCAAGGAAGAAATCCTCTCCCTTGAAACTACATTTTAAATCTAATAAATTGAATCTAATAATTTGAGTAGCCCACAGCACAATCCCAATCCGTCTAAGAGAGTCACCCTGTTTTATTTTCCTCATTCTTTCCAACGTGGGCCGATCTCAAGCAGAGACCTGGAATTCCTTTTTTTTTAATCTTTATTGAGATTAAAATATTAAAATACAAATATGTCTATAAGGAAAATAAATTTGTACAATCTTGGTTATATTCATACATTTTAAATATCCATACATTTTGACAGTTTCTAATTAATCATGTACATATACAAAAAAATGTTATCTTATTTTTAACCTATACGTTTCATATTCCTACTATCTATCCATTGGTACCAATTAGGTTCCAGACCTGGAGTTCTTAATCTGTTGCTGCCTTACATCTATTCAACGTTCGGAATAATTTGGGAAGAAGAATTTTTTTTAAAAAAGAACTGGTTAAATATTAAACATTCTAAAATATTAACCATGATTAATCTGCAACTTGCCAGAGGAAAATATTCTGATTTAAATAACCTTGTGTGCATATATCCTGCCTGTAAAAAGCGGGTGGACTCCAGTGGCGACTTTGTAGATCATGAAACGTGCAAAGTCTGGAAAGAGGCTACCAGGCGGCTCTTCCCAGGACCAAGAAAACAGGGTCCAAACTAGAATACAGAACCCCCCTATTCTCACTAGAGTTGGAGGGTCTCATTCAGGCTTTTGAGGCCACACCCTCTGCTCAGTGAGAATCCAAAAGAAAACATCTGCAGGGAGACCTCGGATTATGACCATGTGAGCTCAAAGTTTCTGTTGTTAAGTGGTTCAACGAGTTTTGAGCCATTTGACAACCTTTCTTGCCACAGTTGTTAAGCGAATTACTGCAGTTTCTAGTTGTTACTAACCTGTTAAGGTAGTAACATGGTTGATAAGTAAATCTGGCTTGTCAGAAGGTCGCAAAAGGGCAGGGATGGGATTCAAAATTTTTAACAATCGGTTCTGTGGGCGTGGCTTAGGTGGTCATGTAACTGGGTGGACGTGGCTTGGCTGGGCGTGGCCAACTCAACATCACTCACATCGAGGCACGCATCTCCTCACCTGGCCTCTCATGACTGTGGAGATGCTGCAACAGTCGTAAGTGTGAAAAATGGTCCTAAGTCACTTTTTTCAGTGCCATTGTAACTATGAATGGTCACTCCACACAAGCAAAGTACCAGCAAAGGAGGGGGAAAAAACTCCAGAGAAGTTCCTGAGACAGGAAGTTCAGTCCTGTCAAGAATGTAATAAGGGTTAACGGAGAGGCAGTTTCTGTAAGCAACACCAGAATGTTTCCTTCCTGCCTTCCTTACAGGATTAGCCCAGTAATTTCTTCTAACCACTGGTTTTCCGCACTGCTTAGGATGTTAACAACCGGTTCTAGTGAATAGGTGTGAACCTGTAGAATCCCACCCCTGCAAAAGGGGATATTGTGACTCCGGGGACATGGTGTCATAAATGTGAGTCCCTTGCCAAGTGTCCGGATTTTGATCACCAACCATCGCGATGCTGCAACGGTTGTAAGTGTGAAAAATAGCCATATAAGTCCCTTTTTTCAGTGGTGATGTAACTTCAAATGGTTACTAAATGAAGTGTTGTAAGTTGAGGACTACCTGTACACAGGGATTATTTTCTCCCTGTTGATCTGTCCCTAACCTGCTCCATTGGGTCTTCCAATTGTCACTGTCACTGAATATATATCCTCATTGCTCTTCTTTTCTTTCCTTCCACCTTTTTCTTTTCTCTTTTTTTTCTTTTTTTCATGTTACTGCACTACCTGTCTCCCTCAGAGAAGTTCTGCTCCAAATGGAATGCTTAAAACTGAAGTGCCCACAACTGGGCAAAATACCAGAGATGCAGTCAAAAGAAACACATACGTTGCATGATGTATGAATTATACTTTTGTCGAGTCAACCTAAGCTGGCAGCTTTGGAAGGTCATATTGAGACCCAATGCTCCCATGCTGCCACCACTGAGCCTGGGAAAGTGGGAGGGGGGAATTTTTTGGAGTGTATGTAGTTAGACATAATAACACTCCTTTCCTAATTCAAGGTCATGTCATTTCTGCACCTGGGTGAGAGGAAGTCTCAAGCGGAGGCGAATGGTGATTGGGGCATGCGATGCAATGAGGGGTGCAGTGGGTGGATTTGTAGTTTTTACTTATTGCAAGGAAACCCAGAACTTTCAGATTCGGGATTCTCCAGTTGTGCCAGTTACTATCCAAAAAAAAAAAGGAACCTTTGAGGAGATTTTTGTCTCTGAGTTATTGGACAGAGTGGAGGGTTGCTGGAATGCTGACATAAACATTGCTTGTGCCATCCTAAAAGTCACACTGCCCTGCTGGCTCCAGTTCAGTTTGCAATCATCTACCACTGTATTGCAAAAAAAGAAGAAGAAGAAATAACGTTCTCTGGTCTAAATAGTAGAAGATTTCAAAAGTGAAAGGCTCCCCTCTCCCAAAGAAACGTGGAATGTTTCAAACTATTGGCCTTTAAAAAAAAAGTTTGGGAACTTGAAAAGGAAAAGCATGAACCTCTAATTCTCAAAGGAGTTTGCCAGCCTATCATGCCAAATCTGTTTTTCTGTTCAGCATATTTCTGTGAATATGATGGTTCCTTCTGCGTTGCTCCGGCCCTTCCTATATTCTCAGTTCACCGGTTCCTCCTAACACCTGTTTGAAGCACCAGCAGCTGACACAGCCAATGGCTGGGGCAGGGAAGCAGGGATCACGCCTGGAAAGCAGCCAATCGACAGGGGGCGGAGGGATCACGGCCTGTCGAAAGGCAGCTTCCTTGAGGTCCCCTCTTCAGGTATAATAGAAGCTGGTTTTGTGAAAGGAACGGGGAGCCTTGGAAAGAGAGGGGCCCACCTACTTCTTCTGGCTGCAGCCTCCCGAGAGAAGCTCAGCAGGCGTTGGGCCAATGGGCGGAAGGAATGTGAAGAAAAGGCATTATTGGGACCTGAGCAGCGCCGGGATGGCATCAGGGCGGCGTGAGGGCTAAAAGTGAGAAGCTTCAAATTCCTGCACCGGTGGGATCAAAGATTCCACAGCCTTGTTTGGAGACGGAGGATGACGGGGGTTTCGGAAGGAAGCCAAGTCTTCACCAACGTTGGCAAAGCAGAAAAGGGCAGGGTTGTCCACGTAAGAGACTCCAGAGACTCTTTTTCCCATGTTCCCCCCAAATAATTTTGAACCAGCAAATGATCGGCATTTTAACCTGAGAAACTGGATAAAGAGCAGCACTGAGAGCTCTGTATAACAACTTCCAAGAGAATCGGTTCTAATTAATAAACCCACATTACGTATCTGATATTAGCACAATTGAGAAAGTCCAGAAATATTTCACAAGAAGAGTTCTCCACTCCTCTACTCGTTG